GTACACTGCTGAGGGGAGCAGTGGGCGGGTCAGGAGAGGTCTGCCACACCATGTGGTCACCTCCGGGGCAGGCGGGAATCGAACTCATGCAGAAGTGGCTTTAGCTTCTCAGTGCTGCGCTTTAACCCGCTGCGCCACCAGGGAGGGCCTAGTAACGCAATTTTAAACCCAGCTCTTTAGCACGAGATTTGTGGGGATGTCCACCAAATGCCCACCTACGCCAGGTCCTCTTGCACCCAGATCTGGGTATGCCCAGGGGAGAACAGGAAATGGATTGGGATTAAGACTCTGGTGATGGCTGGCTGGCCCCATTCCCCACACCCCAGAGAACAATTAGGTGCAGAAGGGATGGGTTCAAATGACTGCTGGGCTTTTTCACTTTGGGATCAGGAGCAAAGATGAGAGCAGCTCCATGCAGGACACGTGTGTGTCCTGGTGCCCGCTGGCATAATGAACTCCCATGGGCCATTTTTAAGAGCTGGTAACAAAGGAACAGGGATTCCAGAAGCAGGTATTACAGAGCATAAAGCATAAAAAATTGCCAGGGACCAGGAACCAGACATAAAGCAGTAGGGACTGGGGAAGGATGATTCTGCAGTGCATCAGTAAGAACGGAGATGGACAAAGCAGCCATGCTGCGTCCCCGTAGCGTGCGACCTCAGGATACTTTACCTTAACTCATTCAGTAAGTCAAGCCCCTCCCCCCTCCTCGTTCTCCAACACGTGACAATGATAAACATAGAACTGGTCCACATTTTATCTTTAAAAGGGGCATGGAATTTCTGTGTATCCCCAGGGCTGTTAGGAAGGCTGAGTGAGCTAATACAAATCAAATCCTTAGAAGTGAATCTGGTAGTTGACAAATGCTGAGTAAATGCTTCTATTTTTTGTGTTATACATTATAATTGATGGCTCATTGCAATACTGCTCAGCCCAAACTCTGCTACTCTCCCTTATAAGCAGTGACAAATAGTTACTGTGCCTTTGTCTCAGTCACTGTGGTGATGATGTTCTCAGTGTAGACGGTGAAGAGAACAGAGAGAATGCTCTCTTGCCTTTGCAACACTTATAGCCTGGTAGTGAAAATTTTAGCACAAGAAACACCAACTCACTTCATATTGTTAAGGGGAGGATGTCCGAAAGGAATTCTGCAGAGTCTTGTGGACCCCACCCCCTACTCCAGCTTTCTGGACTCTACCTGTTACTCCAGTGATTGGCAACTACAACTCCCAGTAGCACCAGGGAGAGAACTGTGAGGACCCAAGGACGGAGCTAAGCAGGCATTCTGGGACATTGGGGGATAAACAGGGCGCCATTGCGTCTCTCACTCTCTCACTCGGAAATGGCTCTCTGGACCGTGTGACTCGGGGCTTTCAGTTAGTTACCAGAGCTCCAAGTCAGCCCAGCCGGTAAGATATTCTAGTTGTTGTTTCCTTTTCTTTTCCCCTTTTGTAAATAAACCCATTACTGACCCTTTCGTGTGTGCCTGCAGTATAATTGAATTTTAAGTGCGTGGGTGAGACCCCACAGACAGGCAGCCCAGTTCACACTAGGGTGCCCTGGAACAATATCTCTTTGGGTGGGTTTAACACTGTGATGTCACATTGATAGTACCATGTGAATTTTTATTGTCCATGTGTTATGACAATTTTTGGAAACACAAATCTAGGTGCCATATTTATGTATTTTAACAATTTCCTTGAGATAGTTTTAACATGGAGATGTTTGCCTCTATTTAAGGTATACAACCTGATGTTTCCATGTATGAATATGTATGTATCTATGCATATATCACTCATACGGATATATGCACTTGTTATTTGCAGCAACAAATGAGATATAACACATATACACAATTATAGGCATCCAAGTGGTGAAAAGATCAAACAAGCTAAATAACTTATCCACACCTCTTTGTAGTTAACCCTTGTGTGTGTGTGTGTGTGTGTGTGTGTGTGTGTGTGTGATGAGATTTAAGATCCTCTTAGAAAACCACAGTACCCCAGTGCTAAGGGTCATCACCTGCTGGTCATTACATCTCCAGAGCTTATTCATCGCACACACTAAATCTTTGTGTCCTTTGACCAATGT